TACAACATTGAACTCTTTTACACATTGAAATAACTTGTGCACTGAATATACATCACCCTTGGCAAAGAGGAGGAGATCATCTGCAAAAATTAGGTGATTTATTTTGAGCTGACTGCACTTGGGGTGAAACTTAAAGAGTCTGTCATTCTTGAGCATCCCCAACTTCCTAGAAAGATACTCCATTCCTAGAATAAACAGATAAGGAGAAAGATGGTCTCCTTGTCTTAAGCCACGTTTGCCTTTGAAATAGCCATAGAGAGAACCATTAAGAGATAAAGAATAACTTGGAGAGGTAATACAAGCTAAAATCCAACCAATCATGACCTGCGGGAATCCCAAACCATGAAGTAGATCAGACAGAAAAGACCAGCTGATGGTGTCAAAGGCTTTCCTTATATCAATATTAAGCATGGCTCTAGGAGAGAGATGCTTCCTGTTGTAGCTATTCACCAGTTCATGAGCCAATTTGAAATTACGAGGTTGTTGATTGCAATACAAAGCTAATTTAAAATTGTTTATGTAAAAATTAAATGTCAAAGATGGTTTCCGTATATTACTCTATTTTTATAGTGGTTCTAGAAAAAAAAACCTTTTGTTTTTGTTATCATCGAGATATGTTATAATTGTAAAATAATAATTTTAAGGGGTTTTTATCTTTAGGTCCATTTGTTTACTCCCATTTATCTTTAAACCCAAGTTCTATTATTTGTATTTTTAAGCCCAATTCACTTTTGGTATTTGTCTTTAAACCCAATTACTTGTATTTATACAGAATGAATGTAAAAACCCAAAATACCCCTTTGATTGGCCCAATAAAACCCAGTATCTCTCTCATCTTCCTCATTTCATCTCACAGCCCTAAATTGAAAAAACGAGATCCCCTTTTCGTCGTCGCCCGTCTCCAGCCGCCGACGCCCCGTTCTAGCCGTCGCCCGTCTCCGGCGTCGATGTCCCTGTCCCTCTCTCTCCAGCTCGTGCCTTCCCATTTCCGTCATCTCCATAAATGCGTCCCTCTTCAAAATTCTGATGATCATGTCCTCTTGCTCTTCTGGTAATTTTCCCCCCTCCTGGGTCTTCTTCAAGCCATCGATTCTGCTTTGAAAACCTTTCCTCCCCACCAATTATTTTATTGCTCTGAACAATTATTTAATTAATCGGTCGTGCGCGGTGAACAGATTTGAGAGGGAGCTATTGAGGGGGGCCGGGCTTGGTGAATGGCTCTGACGCGCGCCATTTGATGGTCTGGAGCTCTTGGTCGCTTGGAGCATTGTTCAGGTTATTATTATTATTATTTATTTATTTTCCTTTTTACGGGTGTTGTTCAATTTTGACGTTCAGTTGGTGGTGCTTGCTAATTTTGTCATGTCGCATCAATTTCCTCCATTTGTGAAATTATTAGCTGCTATGTTTCGAAATAAAAAGCGCTTTTGGGCACAGGTTCTTATCACGGAGGTGGATATTTGGGATAAGTTGCCTTTTGAAAAGGTGGTTTGCTAATTTTTTGCTGTCTAGATAAAGTTCGACCGCATGCTTAATTAATTTTTCGTTTGGGGGGGGGGGAGGATTCTTGATATTTGACCCCAAAACTATATATATTCTGGTGTTACTGCTATAAAAAGAGAAAAAAATCGATGAGCACAGCAGGATGTCGGCACCTAATACATATGCTTCGAGCCTTGGTGAATAAAAATGAGGAGAGCACATTTTTCATGCTAATGTAGTGTTCACTCAGATATAGATTATCAACAAGTGAGGAGTCGTTGATTTTAGTGTGGGCAAAATTTCAAACCAATATCTTGTAGTTTCTTAATATTTAGGTTGGTCGATCATATGTTTCTTATATCCATGAGTTAGTGAAGTTAACTGAAAACTTTAACTTTCTGTGATTAATTATCATCTTCGATAGCCACTTGAGGAGGCTGAACTCTCAAATATCACACAATTATACCAGAAACTATGACAACCAATAAATGTAAGCCATTCATTGTTCAGTAAAGAGCAAGGTGGGCATCACTAACTTGAGGGAAACATGTTTTGTGTTCAATTCTGTTTTGATAATAAATATAGATAAGTTTATCCAAACAGAATCCTACTAAATGTTAAAACATTGAACTTAAAATTATTATGTTTTGTTGATCAGAACTTAAAATTATTATGTTTTGTTGATCAGAACTTAAAATTATTATGTTTTGTTGATCAGCGCATGATGACTAATTAAGTACATTTTCAACCATATAAATTACAGGAGGAGCTGATCAAGGAGCTCGATTTGATTCTCGAGAGCTGCAGTAGGTTCTTAGTGGATCATGGTAAATATTTCTTGTATAGGATGTTGCATTCAACTAAACAATATAAATTACATTTTGGATATTTGGATTGTAGTTTGTGGTTTTCTAAACTCTGACAAAAAAATTTCTATTGATGGCTGGTTGTTTAACATTCTAATTTTTTTCAGGGTTAAAAAGGGTCACCAATTGTTTCTTGCTTCACTTGATGGAGTTTGGCCCTTTGAAGCTTACTGATCCTTCGAAGATTGGTGGGCTGTTGAACGGGTTGAAAACTATGAGGATGAATAACCCCTTTTGGCAGTCTTTATGGTGAATCTATGTTTTTTAACATTCCTCAGCTTTTGGCTATGTTTGTGACTGTGAATGTATCTGAAATACGTGTGAGGATGTTTTGTACCATATATGTGAGGATGTTTTGTAACATATCTCAATTTGTGTTGCAAGTGTAACATATATGCGAGGATGTTTTGTAATATGCGAGGATGTTTTGTAACATATATGCGAGGATGTTAAAATTGGTCATTGTTAAAATTTGTATGATCTCTAAAATTGTGACTGAATGTAGTGATGAGTTTGTAGCATATTTCAGCTTGTGATGGTGTTTGTGATTGAAAATGTACCGTGTTAAGTGTAGAGGATGTTTTGTAACATATCTATGTTTGTGATTGAAAGTGTAGCGGGTTATCATGTAAGGGTAGTGGGTTGCACTGTAAGTGTAGCGGGTTATCATGTAAGGGTAGTGGGTTGCACTGTAAGTGTAGCGGGTTATCATGTAAGTGTAGCGGGTCAACGTGCTATACTTACATGTTAACGTGTTATACTTACGATATAACGTGTTATACTTACAATTTAACGTGTTATACTTACATGTTAATGTGCTATACTTACGATATAACGTGCTATACTTACAATTTAACGCGCTATACTTTCAATTTAACGTGCTATAATTACAATTTAACGTGTTATACTTACAGGTTAATGTGATATACTTACAGATCAACGTGTTATACTTACATGTTAACGTGCTATACTTACGATATAATGTGCTATACTTACTGGGTAATGTGCTATACTTACAGGTTAATGTGTTATACTTACAGGTTAACGTGCTATACTTACAGGTTAACGTGCTATACTTACTGAGTAACGTGCTATACTTACAGGCTAACGTGCTATACTTACTGAGTAACATGCTATACTTTTAGGTTAATGTGCTATACTTACGATATAACGTGCTATACTTACTGGGTAATGTGCTATACTTACAGGTTAATGTGTTATACTTACAGGTTAACGTGCTATACTTACAGGTTAACGTGCTATACTTACTGAGTAACGTGCTATACTTACAGGCTAACGTGCTATACTTATTGAGTAATGTGCTATACTTACAGGTTAATGTGCTATACTTACAGGCTAACGTGCTATACTTTTAGGTTAATATGCTATACTTACGATATAACGTGCTATACTTACTGGGTAATGTGCTATACTTACAGGTTAATGTGTTATACTTACAGGTTAACGTGCTATACTTACAGGTTAACGTGCTATACTTACTGAGTAACGTGCTATACTTACAGGTTAATGTGCTATACTTACAGGCTAACGTGCTATACTTACTGAGTAATGTGCTATACTTACAGGTTAATGTGCTATACTTACAGGCTAACGTGCTATACTTTTAGGTTAATGTGTTATACTTACGATATAACGTGCTATACTTACAATATAACGTGTCATAACCCAGTTTTCAGCTCATGAGTTGACCCATAACTCATCATGAGTCGACTCATCAGGTTGGGTCGACCCATGACTGTCATGAGTCGACTCATTATATCAACTCCTGTTGTTAAAAGTCTCTGCTGAGTCGACTCATCACCTTATGAGTCGACCCATACTTACAGGCTAACGTGCTATACTTTTAGGTTAATGTGCTATACTTACAATATAACGTGCTATACTTACAATATAACGTGTCATAACCCAGTTTTCAGCTCATGAGTTGACCCATAACTCATCATGAGTCGACTCATCAGGTTGGGTCGACCCATGACTGTCATGAGTCGACTCATTATATCAACTTCTGTTGTTAAAAGTCTCTGCTGAGTCGACTCATCACCTTATGAGTCGACCCATGAGTCATAAGTCGACTCACGACTGAACATGAGTCGACTCATCGAAGGTTTTCTGGTTTTTTTCTAAGTATAGCACGTTATATTGTAAGTATAGCACATTAACCTAAAAGTATAGCACGTTAGCCTGTAAGTATAGCACATTAACCTGTAAGTATAGCACGTTACTCAGTAAGTATAGCACGTTAACCTGTAAGTATAGCACGTTAACCTGTAAGTATAACACATTAACCTGTAAGTATAGCACATTACCCAGTAAGTATAGCACGTTAGCCAGTAAGTATAGCACGTTAACCTGTAAGTATAGCACGTTAACCTGTAAGTATAACACATTAACCTGTAAGTATAGCACATTACCCAGTAAGTATAGCACGTTAGCCAGTAAGTATAGCACGTTAACCTGTAAGTATAGGACGTTAACCTGTAAGTATAGGACATTATATCGAAAGTATAGCACGTTATATTGTAAGTATAGCACATTAACCTAAAAGTATAGCACGTTATGAAGTAAGTATAGCACGTTATGGAGTAAGTATAGCACGTTAACCTATGTTTATACGGTTGATGCTTGTAAGCGATTTGGGATGTTATCTATGTTCAGTTGAGGCATTTTGTGAGACGCTTCACGTTCAACATGCTTTTACCAAGTAGAGATCAATTACGATTGCATTTAATTATATGATTAGCAATTTGAGATGTAGTTTACATTGCGTCGAGAAAATGATGTACAAGTTATTTGCAGGCGTTGTTGTGGCAATTTGTGGAACACTTCATGGCATCATGCTTTTGCCAACTTGAGTTTAATTAGAAATGCATTAGGTATATTGTCTCGCTGAGACAAATTATCAAACACCTTACATGCGTGTATTTCCTTCATTTGCCTAGCTTTTTTTCTTTTTCTTTTTCCTTTTTTATTGGGGTAGTACTTCCAGCAATTCTGAGAATCAATCGCATAAAAAATTACTCAAACACACTGAAACCCACAAAGAGGAGCATTTACAGCAAATCAATCCAAATGCCTCATATTTCCTCTACAACTTCCCATGACAAGAAAATGGGGCAAGTTAGATTAGTTGTTCTCACATTTCACCTAAATCCTAAGCACCTATTTCTCCAAAACTCAAATTACCTAAAAAGAGGCAGCTCTTTCAGCAGACAAACCTCCATCCAACCAAACTAATGCAATTTCGATTGAAAAAGACCATCAATACACTGAGAACCCATTACATCCAAATCCTTAAAACAAACTAAAAAAATCCTAATTAAATAAAAAGGCAGCTCCTTTAGAGAACAAACATCCGATCAATCCCAAACTCATGCAATCGCGACGAGAAAAAAGAGGTCGACGGCGAGATCTGGGACGGAAACGAGGCGACGGAGCAACTAAGAGGTTGACGGCAATGATTGATCACGAGGTCGACGGCCGACGCTCCTCCGCCGACGCCAACAACACCAACCGCGGTTCTAAGATGCTGAAGAGGTTCAACGTCGGTGCTGATCCGCTCCCGGTGGCGTGTTGAAAAGGAGAAAATGAGGAGAGAGAGATATGGGTTTATATGGGGGCTAAAAGGGGTATTTTGGGTTTTTACCTTGATTTTGTATAAATACAAGTGCTGAAAGTATTGTATTTTGAAAATTGGGTTTAAAGACAAATACAAAAAGAGAATTGGGCTTAAAGATACAAGTAATAATGTATGGGTTTAAAAATAAAGTGGAGTAAACAAATGGGCCTAAAGACAAAAACCCCTTAAAATATTTATGTACAAATCATATAATTGAATCTACTTCGAGCTCAAATTACTATGTCTAAGACTAATGTCGATCATCTAACATAACAATCATATCCATAGACTTTGATCCGAGAAAATTTACATCTTTATTTGTTTATTTATTTTAGCCATATGACATACTTATTTTTCAATCTCAACCTTTTTCTTTTACATTTACTAGTTTTTACACACGTGCAATGCACGTGATTTAATACTATGATTAAGTATTTTTGGCAGTTTGTGCTCATTTTTTTCTTTAAACTCATACATTCTGATTATTTTTTTTATATTTGTTTAAATGGGATACACCCAATTTAAATTTTCATGTTGATATTTGAATTGACAAAAAACAAATATAATTTAAAAATAATTTGAATTTTCATATTATTTTTGACCGATATAAAACTAAGCTTTATTTGAGAAAGTATAGCATTGCAAAGTGAAAAATATTAAAATAGTGTTATACAAGGAAGGTGAATATTTAAAACCAATATGGCAAAATGATTGATTTAAAGTATGTTAAAACGATGCAAAAGAGAATATGAAGTTTATTCCTAATCATTGATAGACTTCATAAAAGAATATAAATTAAAGATTAATGCTAACTCTAGTATACTTTTATATGATAAAAACATCCACATAAGAATATAAAAGTACTGAAAAAAATTCATGAAACTCTCTTCTAAAGATTCCTAATTTCACTCAAAATAATTAAACTATTCTATAAAATATTCATAAAATTTTATTTTTATTTCTTCTATTTTATTTTTTATTGAGTTAATATCAATCATTCTTCAGGTTTATCATTTATCATTTCTCGGACAATTCTAGGGTATTGTCTTCATCATCTACATTAATTGTGACATCAGACTAATTTTGTATTTTTTATGCTATTATCTTTCATAGGCTCGTTAATTGTTTATCATCTCATTTAACTTTACAAAGAAGTCAAATGTACTTATGATGTTCAACACAAACTGCTCAAAATATAGACTTTGATTTTTTTTCTATTTCAATGAGAATAAATATTAATTTCATATATATAAAATTTTTTGTGTTCCTAATTTATTACTTAAATAAATTAGAAGCTATCTCTTTATTTTCCTCTAAAATGAATTCTTCTGATGTGGATCCAATAAGAATTTCTGTTATTTCAATAATATTACCTTTGCTCTATCCCTGTCATTTTCCATAAAGATCTAAACTAAATACCCGCATTATTCATTACCAATTTCTCTTAGATTATAATATTAATATTTAATTTGAAGAACACAATATGGAATTTATGAATACTTACTAATTTTTCTTATGTCTTCCATGGAGATTTTTTCTTTGATTAGGATAAAGTTATTAAATTATTTTTTAATGTAACTCATTCAGTGCTTCATTAATAGATATTGCTTATGTTAATGCCAATTCAAGTGATTCATTGACGTTTTCTGAATTTTAGATTTATTTCTATCACTTTCCCATTTGCAATGGAAATAACTCAATTCTTTTAAAGTTATCTCTAAATATTCTAATAGTTTCTCCATATGTAATTCCTTGTATTCTTTTACCCTATAAATATTATTAACGTCAAAGATTAAAGTTTATAAATTAAAATCAATTAATGCTAAGGTATAATATTATAGTATTTTATCATTTCTTTGGATTTAAACATCTATCAATTAATGTTACGAATGTATTTTGGCTACCCCAACTTATTACTAAAATTATATAAAATTACTTTAATTTATATAGTGCCGATAATCGGATACAAACCTTATTTTGTACTCATATTTTTATCTATCCAAATTCCTAATTAATTAGCGGATACAAACGAAGTGATATCCGACCCGTTTTCATCCCCGCGTCATAATCGGGTCCCCGGTGCAAGCGCTGGATCAGTTCGAAAGTTGTAGCCCCAATACTGTAATCAGACATATTAGCAAGGGTGTCTTACAAAAAGCCAAACAGGTCGAAGAAGTAAATAAACCCGGCTCCTTTCCTTGCGCAGGGGGCTTCCATTTTCTCGCTCGTCCTCGTCCTCGTCCTCGTCCTCTCTCCGCTCCCTCGTTCAGCTCACCAAAACCCTAGAAAGAAAAAGGCCATGGGAGACAGCCAGTACTCTTTCTCTCTCACCACCTTCAGGTTCGATTCCTTCTCTCTCTCTCTCTCTCAATCTCCTCTTTGTTCTCTTCTTCCCCCTCTCTTTCAAGTTCTAACCCTAGTTCTTCTTGTCTTCTCCGTCGTCGATCTGATCGCCGACTGCAGTCCCTCGGGAAAGCTCGTTCAGATCGAGCATGCGCTCACCGCCGTCGGATCCGGCCAAACTTCGCTCGGGATCAAAGGTACGTGATACGATGAACTCGGTTTCAGTAAGTCGAGTTTGATCAAGCGTCGATGTTTGAGGAAATCTCTGTAGCGTGCTTAGTTTTGATCTCGATGTCGAAATTCGTGAGGATTAGGGCTTTGTATCAGAATCTAGGGACATTCATGCTGCGATGTCGTCGCTCGGTTTAATTTGAGGAAATATGGTGAAATTATCGGAAAAAGAATGCCAAATATAGAGTTTGTAGTTAGTGGTCTGCTCTATCCTAGACTGTTGCAAGCAAAGTAGAAGACAGTATCAAGTTGAGTGACGATCTGGAAATTGTTAGATGAATAAATTGTTGAATTCAATTACGATGTCAAATTCTCAATTGTATAAAGGAGTTTGGTACGGATTATTATGTGGATATAGCATGCATAAATTAAAATTGAATTATAACGCGGTGTACTCGTCCAATAATTTTTGCACTTTGATACTTTCATATAAATTTATAATACAAATTTAAATGTAGCTAAATATAAATGCTATAATGTTATACTAACTTATGCTTGTCCTGAGGACTTGGAGAGATCCTGTTTTTGGCACTTTTCCTGCTGCGATATAATAGCTGCACCTGCCTCCATGAATCATTGTCTAAGTGAGGATTTGAGATTCTCACCAGATGTTAAATGTAAATTTTATGCACTTATTTTGTAGGTTATCTAACTAGTAGCTTGATCTTTTGTTGGAATTTCCATTATCTTTTAGATGGTTGGAGATGCTAATTTCTTCTGCGAGAACTTGGATTAGAACTTTATCTTTGATTAGATAGTTGCTCAACGATAGTCTTATGATTAGATATCGCCATTTCAACTTTCATTTTTGTCGAAAATTATTATATATTTGGGGTTCCAATGGTATATCAATTACCCTTTCGAGTGGAAGGGATCTCAAACTCTATCTGTTGATCGGTTTAGGTACCTGTAGTTACGTGCCTAAAATATTTAGTCGATTAATTTTGGAGGCTGTGCTCTGAATTTTTTTTCCATTAAATTTTCCATGTTTTTTTTCTTATATTTGTATTCGTAATGAGTATTCTTGTTTGAGTAACCTCACTTTCCATTTTTTGGTTGACAGCTGCTAACGGTATTGTTATTGCCACTGAAAAGAAATTGCCTTCCATTCTAGTGGATGAAACATCTGTAAGCACACAAATTTAGCTTTTTTCCTGTTATTTATTGTTATTGATCATAGATTGTTAGTCAAGTTGTTTACAGAAACTAGTGAGTTATTCTTGTTATTACTTTTTTTATCGGAAATGTTGTCTATTTTTTGTGCTTAAGTTATTTTGAGCCATTCTGATTACATATTGCGTATTTCAAAGAATCTGGTTATCTAATGCTAATTTTTTTTTTTATCTTGAAGCATCAATGTTGTACTGTGTTGCCTAATGTTAAAGTGTGTTTTGTCCTTTTTCCCATTATTGTTTAACACTTGGTTTTATGTGAGGATTTTCTTTCTTCTATTTCTCATCTCTAATGAGAAGTTTTGTCTTTGGTGTTGGACTTTTGGCTACATTGGTGTTCAGGCAGCATGTAGTAGCATCACTCTCTTTTGATTGAGCTACTTTTGTTGCAGGTGCAAAAGATTCAGCTCATGACAGCAAACATCGGGGTTGTTTATAGGTACATTTCTATACGATTCACCATGTTTAAGATTCCTTAAGCATTTAGTTGCTCAACCACGAGAGCAGGCGTGAACTCTAATTTGCTTTTCTGTCTTGGTGCTTTTGTGTCTTCTAAGTCCTTATTATTCATACAGGTGACAAGGTTTTTATTTGCTTGATTTTTAAGGAGGGTTTGCATGTTATGCTGTCTGCTCCTGAATTTGGTTGTGGAAATGTGAAATGTTAATTAGGATGAATTTGTAGTAGAATGTTACAGCATGGACCAATGAGTTAACCTCTTAAAGTAAATAAACTATTTCTTAAAATGGAGTTGGATCAGAACCGTAACTCCATTCTAAGAGAGCTATACATAAAGTGATTAAATTTTGCTTGGTTAACAACCCAGTGACTGGAATCTGAAATCTAGGGCCTTGGGAAAGAAAATTGTGTGCAACAGAGGAGATTACTGTAGGGGTAGGCTGTTGGAGAGTAAACTCTGCCCCCTGTGTTATGCAGTTAAATCACACACAATGAAAAAATCTTCCAACGTTCTGCTGGACTGCAATATAGTTGAAAATACGGTATGAAAATGAAAATGTTGCTAAAGAGAATTTGTATTTATTATTTATCGCTGAGCCAGAATATAAGACTAACATAGAAATGGCTAGCATTCCACAAAGAGGTTACAGTTTTTTTTTAATCACAATTGCATTTCAGAGAGCACACTGTTGGTTTATGATATGAGTCGAGATATGAGGGTCTAGTTATTTCCTTCTATGCTTGTTTCTTTTTCAAAATAAGATTTCTGACTAGTAAAATCTGATATCACTTGTATTTGCAGTGGAATGGGGCCGGATTCTCGTGTTTTAGTCAGGAAAAGCAGGAAGCAAGCAGAGCAGTACTATAAACTATATAAAGTAAGTTCACATCTCTCACCTTTGGCCATGTTCACCATCCTTCTTTAAGTATTGTGTAAGCCGAACTCTTTTGTGGTTGATTTTTTTATGTTAATTTATTTGGTGGCTCCCCTTACAGCTGTATGAGCAGCTAGTAAAGGCAGAGTTATTAATGCGCGAAGCACAATGCAAGGCACAAACAAAGTCCCTTTACTCGCACATGTGCAAGCTGCAATGCAATGCACTCGCTTGATTGAAGTGAGGCGCACATCACACACATATTTTGCAAGATAGATAATCAAGTATGAAATTCCATGTTTATGAATTCTCACATGAAGTTGAATAAACATCCACTACCAAACAAAATAAAAAGGTCTTAATTCATAATGCTAACCACCCAACATGGTAGTAAAGTTCATAATTTTCCAAATTAAAAGTCAAACCAAGACTAATATCGAAGCAAAATTAAATAATAAACGAGAACAAGTGAGGGCCCTCAATCATGCAAGTAAAATGTTCTACTGAGCTTTTTTTACTTTTTGGGATATGGATTATCAAATATAAAGACCAGGTTGAAATGTTAAAGAATAAAAATATGAGGCTATTTCTTGCCTGTGTATTGTGCGGAGCACTCTTGCAGAGCTCTTGTGAGGCGCAAAAAGGCATTGTCGCATCAGATGTGGGGCGCTTTGCCATTGGCCCGCATCCTATTGCACAATGAGCCACTTACCTTTGATAACCCTGTAAAGGGTCTCTGCTGGACCTATGGTGGAGTGTCAGGTTATGATGTGGCATCTATTACAGAAAAGTCTATGTTCTAACTAAACCTTTTTGTGTTGAACTCTTATAAACTCTTGCATATTACGTTATCTATAGTTATCTCTGGGTTGCATTATCTGACCACTGATTGTCATTTTTTACCTAGTAGATACATGTAGTGAAAGAGACAGGGGCTAAGGGAATCTAGGCAATGTGAAACCAGCATCCTCAGACCTTTTATTATCCAGTAGTATAGAAATTGTTAGATAGGCGATTCAAATATATCATGTTTGGATTATGATGTCTTTGTATGATGCGCACATATAAAAGGTCACTGTAACACTCATATCCATAAATTATCTTACCAGCAGTTGTAGTTACATTCTACTTGTTCGGATTCGTTGTAATGGGCTAGTTATAGTGGAACTGCTGTACTTGTAATATTCATGGTAGTCCTGAAACCATTATTTTTGGCGTACCATTACTGCCTTTTAGTTTTAGTTGTCATCCCTTTCATTTGAGGAATTTAATCGTAAGAAAACCAGTCTGTTAAATTTCATTCTGACACTGAATATGAGATGAATGTACCATAATGTCCTTATCATGAGCACAACATTTCCATCTAACATTCACATGTAATATTCACCTTTTATCTTTTAGTTGCCCCATTTCCAACTTCCATGTAATTTGCCAAGTTGTATCCTGCTTCCATCACCTTGCTGATTAAACTAAGGCTGCCACGTATGTTACATGGGCACTTCTATAACGAAGCCATACCCATACCGGACACGCACCCGACACTTTCCCGTACCCAAACTTCATAGACACTTCTTGAATATATGCATGCATTTATTATAACATGAATTCAATTATATGATATATATGTGTTAATTTAAAACACTTCTCAAACACTTCTTGGACGTATAGCTTACACTTCACATCTGTTTCTTGAAACTAGTTAGATATGGGTCGGGTTCATTTCAGTTCACACCCAAGTTTAAAACTATATAGTTAAAGGGTCGTTTGGATGTCTAATTAAAAAATGAGTAGTTTCTAATTTATGATAATCAATATGATAAAAGAAACTTAAAGATGTGATCAAATTTTTAATTCTAATGACCCATGAAGCGGAAAATAATCTCATGTACACTATTAATACACACACTAGCACAAATCTCAAAGCATAATGAATGGATAAAAAGTTAGTGGACAAGTGTTCCTATCCACTTAAGTTTATAGGAGCTTTTTTCGTTTGCAAAAGCGGCCAATAGCGCGCCCTAACGGTAAATAGCGGGCGATTGCGTGCAAAATCCACTTTTTGATTGCTATTTGAAAGCGGTTTGGGGTTATTTTTTTAAAATTAAACCCGACCTTTAACCACTGTATTCGACCGCCTCCTGTGATTTTCAGCGTGCTCCCGCCGCCTCTCATAGTCTCTGGCACCTAACTCGGCATTTCCCCTCACCTCCTTCACCGTGAGCTCCTCCTAGGACAGTCCTCTCACCGTTCAGCTTATCTTCTCAAAGACAATAACTCTTTGACTTCTCCTCCAGTCAACTTTGGTATTAAATTGACGATTACATGTCTATTTCATATTTAGGATCTCTTTAAATCATCAAATATGACTTTTAGTTTTTCTAGATTTTTCTTTAATCTTTTTAGTATTTTGCGTTTTTTACCGCTATTTTGTCGCAATAGCCCCAAATAGCCTTATTGATGCCTCACCGCTACGCGATGCTATCCACTATCAATAACCTTGGATGTGATCGAATTTTTAATTCTATTGACCCATGAAGCAGAAAAATGATCTCATGTACTTTGTTAATTACGCACACTAGCACAAATCTCAAAGCATAATGAATGGATAAAAAAGTTGGTTGACAATTGTTCCTATCCACTTTTTTGCAAGGGAAAAAAAAAAAGAAAAGGGAGAAAAGCTAATTATATATATATATATAATATTATATATATATATATATATATATATATATATATATATATATATATATAATATATATATAGGTGAAAACTTGTGTCAACTTAAGTGGATAGTGAATAGTGTGTCCACCAAAGTTTTAAACAACTCATATTGTCTAAGGATCCTTGTATTATATAAAAAGATGTTTTATATTAATAAATGTGTGGCTACAAAGTTTGGTAGTCATCAACTTAAGTTGATAGGAGTCTTGGCTAATATATATATATTATATATATAATATATATATATATATATATATATATATATATATATATATATATGCAGCCGTGTCCCTATACATTTTAGCGTTTTTATTTCGTGTCCCATACCCATACTCGTACCAGTAATTGTACCCGTTTCCTTGTAACTTAGGCTGCCACTTATTTTCACATTCTGATCTTTATAGACAACTTTTTTCCATCTAACATTCACATGTAATGTTTACCTTTTATCTTTTAGTTGTCCCATTTCCAACTTCCATGTAATTTGCCAGGTTATATCCAGCTTCCATCACCTTACTGATTAAACTAAGGCTGCCACTTATTATCACATTGTCGTAAACTGATTTTTCTGATCTTTATAGGTCCTATCCTACATTATTTTCTTCAAGCTTCCTACATCCTGATTTTCTCTCTTTTTTCCCCAATCAGTTGTGTCCGAAACCGCCTTGAAATCATTAATGTGAACAAAACTATCAATTATCATTATACTGGCCCTTATGAAAGCCGTTTGATTTAAGTGAATATACAGTATGTCAGTATCATCTTCATACTCCAGAAGAGGATTGGTTGTGACATCTGTCAATTGGCTTATTGTTTCTCTACAACTTTGATCATGTGATATGGAGATTTTGCATTTGTGTTAGCCTTATGTGTTTATCAGTTTCAAGATTTTATATATATCCTCTAATTGCGTTATTGTTGTTGCCTGCAGGAAGCAATTCCTGTAACACAGCTTGTAAGGGAAACTGCAGCAGTCATGCAGGAATTCACACAGTCCGGGTATGACGATCAGTATTTTGTATAAACATATCAAATATAACCTCCATACAAACTTGACCTTATTGTGGCATATCTATGACGCACATTACCAAAATTCTCTTTTATGCAAGGTATGCTATTCATGACCATGATCCTTTATTTTAACCTTTTCCTCATGAAAATGTGGTTGCCTTAGAGCATGAGAAGGTCTGTAGATATGCACAGGTTTTTCAACCGTCCGCTAACTTGTTAATATTCCATTAGTTTGCTTCCAAATCCTCTGATAATTAAGTGAGCAGGAGAAGGCAATCCTTTTTTTGATGGTAACAGGTGAACCTTATGTAAGTAACTTAGGAGAGAGCTTCCAAACCCCTAGATAGTGAGTCCAGAGGAGTATGTAATATTGTGTTGTTTGCCATGTGGAAATGCATTCACCTTTATGCCGAAAAGTAAGATGAATTTAGAAACTACATTCTCAGTAAAGATAACCAATATGAATTTATATATTAATACCACAGATTATTGAAAGGAAACTTAGTTTGTCTGAAACTTAGTTTGTCTTTTTTTTTTTTTTACAAATACAGTCTTCTAGCAAGAACTGCTAAGTATGATGTAAACATGGGTTCCTTAGTGTGTGTCTTTTTATCGACAGTCTTCTAGCAAGAACTGCTAAGTGTCTTGTGCACTAAGGGACTTTGCACCGCACATACTTGTAAGTAGTACTCCAATTTTGGGGCACCAATTCGTGTATCGGACAGAATTGGTTCGCAAGTGTATTGGTTTGTTCGCCGGAACTGTAAGATTGTTCTGCGCGTGGGGGAGGGGGGGTGTCAAGAAATCACGCAACTATGTGTCTATTCTTCTTTATTTCACATTCCTTCCTTCATCTGGATAATAATTAGAACCTTGTGCCTCAGACTCTTAAGGTGTTTCCAGGGTAAAGCTTGTTTGAATAATGTTTCTAAGTAATGACATACAGGTCAAATATTTGTCTTTTTTTCCTCCTTTTGCGATTTAAATTTCATTTTTATTCTGACTTGTTGTTTTTATACTTGCCTGTTCTAGTGGGGTGAGGCCGTTCGGGGTTTCTTTGTTGATAGCTGGTTATGATGATAATGGCCCACAATTATTTCAGGTATAGTAATCCTGCCTTTTCTCTTTCTTCTGTTCAAGAGTTTTCTCGGAAGTTTGGGATCAATACATGTTTTTCTTAATTAGTTTCTCTCTTTTCCTGGCATAGAACATTATGAGAACTACCACCACACTTGCAATAACTAGTTCTGTTAACTGATAGACATTTATATTGGACTAAAAAAAGCCTACACATCTCAGTCCATGTTTGTATCAAATTTTCTGTGGCTACCAATATATATTCCTAATGGTATTTTATAATAAATTAGGACATTTACCCTTCTATTATTGGAATGCTATGATTAATACATGGTAGTTTTGGAACTACAGGATATTCCTCCCTGACCTATTTTTCTTATAGGTTGATCCTTCTGGTTCTTACTTCTCATGGAAAGCTTCGGCAATGGGGAAAAATGTTTCTAATGCAAAGACATTTCTTGAGAAGAGGTACAATATTTTGTAATTACTTCATGTGATCTATTATCTTATTGAGTTGTGTGCAGTACTTTTCATACAGCTTTGTCGGAACTGTCATTGGATTTGCAAATATGTCACTTTCATTCTAGCATTTTATACCAGAAGAATTGCATGCTGTGCCCTTTAAGCAATTTACTTGGTTAGTCTTAATGGTTGCTCTTTTTTTTCTTGGTTATTGGTTATTCTCCTACTGCACTTTGAGAGCTGTTGTATTGGTTTCATAAGTCACCAACATTACTTAACTATCTGGTTACCATTTACATGGAAAATTGAAGGGATACGTCGTGGTTGGTAGACATTAAGCTATTAGATGCTTGTTGCGTTGTTTTGAAATTTTGATCCTCATATATTATTCCTTATTTTTGTTAGCATGATATGATGCTATATCTACCAGTAGAACTCTTGGAAAATATAGATATAACACATACATATCAATAATCAGATATTGTTCAATAAGTAAATATGGACAATAAATAAGTGTTACAGAACTTTTATCTTAATAAAATGTTAAGGTAAATAATTAGAATGCAAAAGAAAACTAGAAATAGGCACACATTCTATACAATGGATTCATAATAAGCCAATAGATCTTCCATCGTACTCTTCACTCAGAATATCTGTTGTCTGCATTCTTACTTTTCCTCAATAATTCTTTTGTTATATGTTGCCTCTCTTTGTAAGGTCGATTGACTTTTAAAACAAGCTTCTTGAGTGTAACTCTTTCTATGCTATTAAGTTGTAAATATAAAGTTCCAATTTCGCAAGTTTTTTGCTAAAACACGCAAGGAAAAGTCGGCTGATTGAATGCAGTTGCCCTTATTTAGACCAGTAAATGCGAGTCTTCAAAGATGGAATTATTGTTGATTTATGTGGATGCTTGGGATTTAAAGTAAAAGTTAAGGCTTGTAGAGATATATTAATTAATGCACAAAACTATGATGTTAGCAATAAAGAAGCCGTGAAAAGAAAGGGGACTGTGAAAGGCAGAAGAAAAATATAGGGAAATCTTTATTCAAAATTTCTTCCTTCATGCTCTAGGATCAGGCAGAAGTACCTGTCCATCAGTTATTTTTCATGTTCATACTTCAGTCCAAAATGAATTATATCTTGCTGGAAGTCTTAGTTACAATTTCAAATGTATTAGTTCTGTTTCAAGAATTTGTCCTTGGCCTATAACAGAGCAACATATCTGTCTTCCTGCCTAGAACGTAGCTAGGTGTCAGGGGTGTATACTTAATGGTTAGTCAGGCATCTCAGCAGCCACCGGTGACAATATTCATATTGCACTAGTTATATTGTTATATTAAATCATTCTGATGCAGCAAATCACACTGTTCATTCTTTGTCAATTGTACATTGAATGTCACATATGGCCTTCTGCTTTTCCATTTGTTGCATGAATTTCAAATGGCAGAACATGCACCTTCATTGTTCATGCCATATGCATATTAAATTTCCCAGTATAATGAAATCTTCAGTTGCATATACAAATTCTGTTAGGCCCTTACGCGTTAGGGTTTCACCTCTACTGCTGCACCTTCACCTGTTGAGCTTGTCTTCTTTTGAGAATTATCCTGTGTACAATTTTTTTATTTCAATAAAATTACCAATTTTCTTCCACTTGTAGATACACTGACGATATGGAGCTCGATGATGCTGTCCACACGGCAATTTTAACCTTAAAAGAAGGGTATTACATCTGTTTCCTTGCAGCAGTAGTAATATAATACTGAATGTAACTTTCCTTTGTCTATCATCTTGCTCATTTTATATTGCAACTTTGTAGGTTTGAGGGGCAAATTTCGAGCAAGAACATTGAAATTGGAATTATTGGAGCTGATCGGAAATTCAGGTATGTATGTTTATTTTATTTTTTAGTTTCGGAAGGACATAATCTTGAGTATTATCCGTTGCATCCTATTGAACCCCCAAATGTGAATTCGCCATTTCTTAATTATTCTTTGTTACCAACTGCCAAACAATTATTTAGTCTTCCTTCTTCCCTTGTTATTTAAAAATTAATGTACGAGCACAGTCGAGATAGGAGTTCTTTTAAACTGTCTCACCATCATCCAGTTCTTGATCCATTGTCGCCAAACAAGTAAAAAAAGCTGGTTTGTGTACGCTTGTTACCTGAAGTCACAAGAGTTTTTTCCTCCTTCCTTTTCATTTTCCTTTGGGTGCTGTAGTTGCAGTTCAGATACAAAATTGTCAGGAAATTTTCTGTCCCTTACACCTTTTGATTCATGTCATAGGGTACTGACCCCTGCTGAGATTGACGATTATTTGGCTGAAGTTGAGTAGCTGATCTGCATACACTCTTGGTGGTTTGATTTCTTGAGGTCAGGGAAATGTGAGACTGTAGTCGATATAAATATTTATATTCACTTCTGAATTCTTGGCTTCAGTTTGTACTTGAAACTATTCTTGCTCGCTTTGAATCCTCTTGTTTTTACTGTTTTTTTTTATTGTGTAAGATTTCACAGTCACTAGTTCTTTCTCCTCAAAAAAGGCGGCTTTTCTTTAATGTATTATTGAGGGGATGAATTGAGATAATACACAAATAGGTACAAGTATTTTCCCCTTTTCTTTTTGATGTTTGTTGGGTAAAACGAGTTGCATAAGCAAAGTCTGTTTGTTTAGCCCGAACGGTTGTTTGTGTAGGCTCAAATGAGGACGGGATTGCCCACTGCACAAGGATTTCCTCGACAGCTGCGTCTGTGCTAGGGCTTTCTCTCAGGTCCGAGTATTTCAGCTATCAGCTCAATTGAGAAAACCGTCGTATTTCAGTTTCACAGATGACAGTTGCACGTCAACATTAAAAACAAAACAAAACAAATCAAATCAAATCCAACAAAAATTCCCCAAAAAAACTAAACCCAACATTATTATTATTATTATTATTATTATTATTATTTTGAAACCTTAATTGCAGATGTTTTTATTCCATTTAGTGGGTGTTTGGCAATTTGAAAGTGAAAGCAAAAGGTGTAAGTGCTTTTTTTATAAGAGTTTTGCTACATGGACTCAAAATATGTAACCAATAAGGGGGACAAGTAAGGTGTCCCTTCCTATTGGATAATGAGTTGATCATCATTAATCATTAATGATGGCCAACTCATTATCCAATAGGAGGGGGACACCTCACTTGTCCCCCCTATTGGTCCCATATTTTAGCTTTCACATCCATGTCAGCATGAAATATATTATTTGTTTGAAAAATTAAATTATTATTAAAAGTGCAAAACAAGATTTATTAATAAAATATAGTTAAAATTATTTAATTAAAATTAATTACTATTATTTTCATTTTCATGTGATTTCACCATAGTTTTTTATTACATATCAATGAAATGAACATGAATGTTCCCTTGTTTCTATGCTGAAAAAAATATGGTAACGTTTTTGCATTTAATTTTCATAATCACTTGCATGCAAAAAATACCTAAAATGATAAAAAAAAATTACTTTCTCACTTTCATCTTTCATAGGCATGAAAATAAACTCCCACTTAGTTGGAACAAGAGTCCAACCGGCTGCTATGTAGACTTTGCCAGAATAAAACGACTAGCGGAGCAGTTCGTCCTATTAACGCACAAACAAATAGTGTCACCGCCCTTTCAATAGATCGCGGGGCCAATTCTAAATTAAGAGCGTGTCTCATTTGGTAGCTGTCTTTAGTAATTTAGGGGCTGTTTGGTTGGTTTCCTAAAAACCAAGAAAAGGAAATCGGTACAAGGAAATCAATAAAATAATATTTTTATCCATTTACATCCCTAAAACTCACCCACAACATCCAATAAAATATTATTTTTATCCTCCAACTCATCTCATTTCATCTCCTTTCTTACCTTTAAAAATAAACCAAACACAAAAAATGTGTCACATCATCCAACTCATCACATCTTATTTTATCTCATTTTTAAAAATTACACACATCATCCAATAATATTGTGACAACTCATCTCATCTCATTAAACATTCCTTTCCACCCATTTCCTCAAAAAAAAACAAGAAATTAATTTCCTTAAGTACATGTCACATCATCCAATAATATACCTCCAACTCATCTCATCTCATCTATTTTCTTATTTTTAAAAACGAACCAAACACAAACAACCTCAAAACATCATCCAATAATATACCTCCAATTCATTTCCTTATTTTTTTAACCAACCAAACAACCTCAAAACAAGTTTTTAAAAAAATCACTCACATCATCCAATAATAAGGTGACAACTCATCTCCTATTCTATAATTTCCTTTTTTTTTAAACCAACCAAACAACTTCAAAGTAATTATAATAGAAAATAGGTTTCCTAAAGTTTGATTTCCCAGTTTTTTTGGCCAAACGAACAGGCCCTTAGTTCCTCTGAAGTCTCAAGTGCCAACGGTCGGTTCTTGGCACTTTATGAGACTTCAATTGACCCGGTTTCCTGGTTGCTGCCTTCAGTCTCTGAATTCTTTAATAAACAATAACAAGCTTTTGATAACAACTGCTGTATGAGAATGTATCGTGTAGATTTCGGTTTATGATATTAAATGTGCAGATAAGGAATGTCAATTCTAACATTATCGCAGTAATTATGGAGTTAAATGATCCAAAGATTAGTCCTCTAATGGCAAATGTATATCAACTTTATAAACTCAATAGACTCTTAAGAAAATAAATTCGAACCCAATTCACTAAGGGGAGGTTATTCATTGTGACATTTGGTGGGATAATGAGATGATTTTGGGGATTATATTTCATAATGTTATTCATTGGGACAATGGAACAAGGATAATACATTTTTGTGTTACTGGTTTTTTGGACACTAGTGAGATAATTTCACCACTTGTGATAAAATTACCTCTCATATACAAAAATGTTGTCCCAATAGTAAAAATTTACCCCATCTTCTATATTGGAACAATTTTGTTCCACTTTGAAGGCATTTAGGATAATTTCAAACCTTTTTGTATTACTTAAACTAATACATGCTAATTATATTATAAATATATGACATGATATATGATCCTCTTCCTCTGCCTCGAGGGTTAAAGTTCTGTTTTTGATTTTGATTATTGGCTGGTGGCAAACCTCTCTCCAAATTCTTTCTTTTGAGGAAGCGTTCAACTTGTTCTCCTCTTACTTTCATCTCTTTCCAAGTTTTAGAGGGAACAACCCCCACCACTTCTAATACATTTTTATGGTATTTATTATATATTATTATGCAATATCACATACTATATTATATAATAGTACAACATATTTAGTATAATATTATATAATATTTTAATAACATATACTATTATATAATATATTATTATATAATATTAATTAGTAATTATAGTATAACATACTATATTTTTGTATAAATAACATATATTATTATATAATATTTTAATAACATATATTAATATCTTAATAACATATATTAATATATTAATAACATATATTAATAATATTATATAATATATAATTATATAATATTAATTAGTAATTTAGTATAACATATTTATTATAA